GACTTTTGAGGTCAGTTTCTTAACCGGAGGTTAGGTTATTACTAAATTGTCTCTTCATTTATTTTGGAAATGTATGCGACTGCCAAATGCAAAATTAATTAATGTAATTAAAAAATAAACACAGGGTGCTGATACTACCTCCCTGAAAACCGTTTCATGAGCAGACAGCGCTATGATTACTAGCATCAAACCACAAATAAATTGGCGGTTGGATGTATTGCAAAGAGAAACAAAGCAATTAGTCAACTTATTACGCTAAGTTATAGTTTTATGTACAGTAAAGAGCACGCTATGTTTTACAAATTGGACCGTCTTTATTATAAATGGCGTAGAGTTAATTTTAAATCGTGTAACTTGTTATTGGCGTAGAGGGAAGGAAACTGCGTCTTGCGTGCCGTCCCAAACAACATTATGTGAGTTGTCAAATATTTGTCTCTATTCAAATAACTGTAAGGTCAGACACAGTGGGCTACATCTAAAGATATGTAGTCTGTCAAAATTGTACCCTCACGCTATTTCCATAGAGTTAAATTTACAGTTAAAAAAAACACATTGCATAAATTGATGTGACTACCTGAAGATTTGCGATTAAAGTTCTAATTTTATTAATTTTCTGAGCAATGTTGCCAGCATAAGATTAACTATTGTTTACTTTATATTAATTTCATATTTAGAATAAAAACAAAGGAAATTTAGGGTCGTATTCTAGAACTCTACTCAATGCTCAAGTTAGGATTGCACTGGAAACACAAGCACTGGAAATACGACCCTAATGGCAGGGACTTGAGTATGATTTTGAGTGCTTTAAACCATACTCAAATCCTGACTTGAGCATTGAGTAGAGTTCTAGAATACGACCCGTGATGTCCTAAGTCAAGTTAATTATAAAAAGGCAGAGGAAATAAAACTGTATGTCAAAAAGACAGTCACAAACAAAATGGCATCTGACTTTGTCTGGCTGTTCAATTGCTTTGTATGATCAATTAGACAACATTCACATATGGACATGGAGGACTCATAACTTAACCACTTGAATGAAACAAAATGTACTTTATTGGCTTATGCGTAAGGGTCAAAACTTTTAAATAAATTTTTAGCGGTATTCGATGTGCAGGAATATGAGTATTATATAGTCACAGTTAAAGTACATATTATTGTGTTAATATTTCAAGGGATGTGTAAGCCACATGGTTATCTAGGTATGGAAGCATCCTGTGTTGTTGGTTGTACAGTTTGGTGCACAAGTCATTCATAATTTTTCTTTACAATCTATTGTTACAATTAAACTTTTTTTTTTATTTAAGCTATTAACATGTTAATAATTAACAGTGGCTATTTACATTATATAAAATTGACGTAATTTTAAATTTTATTTAGAATTACGTCAATTTGTTATGTCGTTGAACGAAAATTGTTGATGCGTATCAGTGGAACACAAACAATTTTTCCAACACAAAACTTTTAAACACAAAAAGTTTTCCATTAATACTGAAGATGTCGAAAGTGTTTCCTTTGTAGTATTTAGTTTCATTTTTTTAATTGAATGTGATTTTAAAGATATGCAAACGTTTTCAATGACTTTTGCAACTAACAGTACAGTATAAAAAAAAATCATAATTAATTGTTCAGTGGTATGTGGTAGACCTATGAGTACCTAACTGGTTTGTGTAGTAGATTAAAAGTGACCACTGCACGTGGCTCCTGATTAACTGGAAGTTTTACGAAATCAAGGACATGACCAGTTTAAGTTGACACCTGATATATCTTTATTCCTCTGTTATATTCAATACTGTTGTTTTATTTTAATATAAGCTAGAACAAGGAATGGAATGACTGTACGATTCTATAAATGGTACTTTGCGTACATAATGTAGTGCTATGACATAATGCTGTGTTAGGAATATACATATAATGTTTGTAGGTAAAATATTGAGTTTAAAGTTAATGAGTGTATGTGCGTGTTTATTTAAAGTTTTGTAACAATAGAAGGATAACCGAGAATGTGCCCGAGAAGTAGATATACAAAAACCTATAATAAACTTTATTTCATAGCTCTATTGTATTGTCTCTTTTTAGTTTATAGGAATGAAAGAGATAGAAACAACTTCTGTAAAATCTAAACTAATTCCTGGCTTATGCCATGGTTATTCATTATATTAGTGTATTGAGTACTTTATAAACAAAGGTTTTACTTACAATTTGTTCCTAAATTAATGTCTGTGAGAGCACCATTGAAGTGAGCAATTACTGGTTCTGTAATAAAAACAATAACAAAATAATAAATTAACAATTGTATGAATTACATAGGATTGTTTATAAGACTTGAATGACATCAAGGAGATACTTGAATGCATATGGACAATTTATTCTAAGCAGACAATAAAAAAAATTTGTTTACTTTTCAACAAAATGCAGCAAGATCTAAGTTTGTACTAAATAAACATTGTAACAATATTGTGGAGGGTAGATGCTTAAGCACTGTGTTTCAGGATACTAGATCACTTTCCAGCGGAATACTTGTAATTATTATAATATTCACGAGCAATGTGATAAGAATGAATGAAATATTTTATTTTATTTAAAAAAAATGTTTTATATACATAGGTACCTAATTGAAAAGAACAAGATAAATAAAATTAAAAAATGTAAAGCAAATTTAAAATTCACCTCTTTGTAATAATGGTAAGTCAATGATGGACATTTTATCTGCACTTGGATTTTTCTTGCCAGAATCCACAAGAAGCATGTCCTCACCAAGGTTTTCAACAAAATACCTTCTTGCATTTGTTGATATCTCAACTTTAGCTCCAGACTCCATTTTTGGCTGTCTGATGTCTAGGTAATTTCTGTCTGTGACTGAAACTAGGGGACTGGGTTGAATCTTTTCCTGATTTCTCATAAAAAATTGGTCTTTCAACATATCTAGTTGTTTTCTCGTGGCGATCATCTCGTTCCAGTAGTAATAAGATATGGAGCAGCTGACGACCATGCAGATGATGATCAGTAAAAAATTAAGAAGAAACAACAGCTTTATTTTCTTGGAAGACGCCACCGAGAAGGTCGTGTTTATATGCACGCCAACCTCTTGCTTCTCTGTTACAATGAGAGGTATACAATGAATATTATTTAAAAACTGAATAAAAACAACAAAAAAATAAATAAAAACAATCGTAATTATGTAAATATAATAATAAATTCACCTGTGTTTAGATGAATAACAGTGCCATCTGGGGTGACCTTATTTTTACCAGTATTCAAAAAAAGTTTTGCTGCGCCTGACGCATTGAGAGGCACACCCTCGCCTATGTTTAATTTTCTATCGCAGTCCATCGTAATTGTTTTGTTTCGTAGTAGGTCCGATATTACTAGAGCTTATAAAACCATCTTGGTGTTGGCGTCCGCGATCCTAAACAAAGGAAACAAAGCTTTATAAAAAAGTTCGCACTGATAACCCGGCCAGTTGATAACAAAAGCAAAACATACCATACACTTACGATAACACTGGTGACTCTCTATTAAAGTTAAATTTGCACTTAATATGTTCACGTATTCACACATAAATCGAGAGTTTTTCTAACAATTCAAGTTCAAGTTAAATAAACGAAAAATAACACACGCGAGCCGCTCGCTCTCGCGAGAAGCCAAGTTTTGTTTTATTTTTTGCTAGTTGTCCGGTCAGTGGCGCGAGCGGCGACCGCTAGTTTGCGCGCCAAATTCAAACTGCGATGGCTGTCTGGCGGCAGAAGTGAGCGCACCGCGTGTCTGCGAGTCGCGAAATGCGGTTGGCATTAATAGCAAAGAATTCGTGATACGGACTGTGTTACGTCTAACGTTCAATAACTTTTACTCGTAGGGTTCAGCAAACAATACTTTTATTCAATCGGTCCACCTGATTTTGCTTGCTTCAGCAAATATTTCAAGGTTGACCAATTTTCAGTTTAGTCACATTTTTTGGCAAATAATAAGCATTAAACACCGTTAGAGCTTTTTTGTTTAACGTAATTCTCAGTACGACTAGCTTGAGAAAAAGTTTCGCAGAACGATAAATAATTTATTTTGTTCGAGTTTATTTGCTTGCACCTTACTCTCTAGGTGTGATAGTATTTCCATTATTTCTGGAACCTATGCTCCGCATTATCAATCTTTCAAAATATTTACAAAAGTCCCGCATGCAACTCAAAATTCAAGTTTAGGCGACTTTACCTGCTCTGTCTTTAGCATTGTATTTGAAACGCGAACATGGTACTCAAAATCGTTATCTCAGGTAGCTAAGCATTTTTACAGTCGTTGTTATCCAAGTAATTGCTACCTACACAGTAGCGAAGAAGTTCTCTATGAGTAGTTAGAATCATATTACATCCGCGTGCCTTTTGCTTGAATTATATATAGATAGATACACTTATTCTAACTATCAATGACATGTTGTTTGTGTGAGTGAGGTATCTACATTATCGCGGTGCGGTGCTATCAGCCTCAAGTTTAGTAAAAGTATTATGTACTTTAGGTGATTAGATTAATACTGCCACCGCCTTTAGTGAAAGGACGCATATGACATTAAAAAAAAAATTTTGTTATGAATACCGGCCGTGATCGTTAAAAAAAGGCTGATCTGTATTATCTTTATTTTTTCCTAGTCGTATAAGGCATGAAGTTACCGCAAGAAATAAGTAGAAATTTTCCAATATAATTTCTTTAAACATTATTTTCTCGGTTTTGAGTTTTTGTCACACGCGCCCCAATTTACGGCGGCAGAATAATAGTAAATTATTTAGTGTCACAGACGTCAACGCATTACACAGTTTTGACATGTTCAAATAGGTACTTTAAAACAACTCTTTGGGCAATGTGCATTAAAAAAACCATTTGGGCATTTTGCGCAACGGAATAATGGAAAAAAAGTTCGGTTTGTTTGCGACTTTCACCACTTCCCCGGTTGACAAGCAAGAGTGCATGGTATGCATCAAAGCAATAACGGCAGGATTCCAGCTACCGGTCCTGGCCCGAATTAGCGCCTCTATTTACAGCGCAACTGCAGGATGTATCTGCAGGAATAAGCAAGGGTATTATGGTTATTACTTCACATTCCTTTGCCTTAAAACGTAAACAGTTATGTCGTCGGTATAGTTGTAAAATAACTATACTAAAGTAATTTCATTGTAGGTAATTTATTCGACCGGGAAGAAGCACCTTAAAGAAGAGAGTAACAGAGGAAGGTAAGCTTCAACTGTTTACTTTTTACTTTCCAATTTGTTTACTCTTTACCTGTATCTCAAAATGGCTATGGCGACTTTTTTAA